CTCCAGCCTGAAGAAAAAGTCAACTGGGTTATCTCAGCACCAACTCTAAACCACCCTGCCTACTGTGGCACAGACCACACCAGCATAAGCTTGTATTAATTAAGAAAGCTTTGAACGTCAAGGAAAAGAAAACAGAGCTAACCATCACTGAAACACAAAAGGTTCCATTTTCTCACACAACCAGGAGTCTGGAGGTAGATGGTTAGATGACAGTCAACGGATAGTCAACGGCTAGATGTCTCCAAGGGCCAACACTCCGTTTGTCTTTTCCCCATCCTCACTGTTTGGCTTTTTTATCCTTAACCTTGTTGCCTGTGGCCACAAGATGGCTGCTATGGTTCCAAGCATTTTCTCTTTTTACATAACCCTTTTCAAGGTAAGAAGAGGCTGAGTAAGAAAAGGGGGTTTCTTCTTATCAGGGAGGAAAATGTCCTAAGAGGCACCCCTTTATCCCTGGTCAGAAATGAGCTGCAGGTGAACAGTGCATCCCCAGAGTTGGCCACACTGTCACTAGAATGATATCAGGTTTCTTTGGGCAAGGAAGGAGGAGGAGGAATAGCTCAGAGGGAGATGGGAGGCTTGTCTGCTCAAGATCCAGGAGTCAGGTCCAGGGAAGAGCAAAGAAGAGGGTTTAATAAACCTCATAAGTGTAAGACAGAAGCTACTCTGTTGCCAATAACAGGATCTACTCTGCTGTTGCAAACAACGAAATCTAGTTTGTTGCAAGTAGCAAATCTACTTGTTGCAAGCAGCTAACCCTAGAGAGACCAGAGAATCAGGCTTGAAGCTACACAGCCAGGAATTGGAAGCTAGAAGCCCTACCCTAGCTAAAATACAGCTACCACCACAACCCACCTTTGGGTACAGGCTCAACCACAGCCACCCTAGGAGAAACAGACACCTCCACCATATCTCACCTGCTTGCCACCACACCCTTTTTCACACAACCACTAACTCACATGCAGTTCATCTGTTTGGAGGAAGTAAGATCCCATGTCTGCAAGAGAGTCTAGGAAGAATATATGTTTGTCTTCTTTGGGGGAAGGAAGGACTCACAATGCAGGCCAGTGTCCACGTGGAGAGGTAAGAGCTTCAGGGAGACTTTCTTGGCCAATCCTCAAAAGGCCCATGAAGTCTTGATGATGTGAAGGTCCTGAGGATCTGGTGGAAGGGATGATGCCCTGGCATGGTCATGACTCTGGTATCCCTGCCATCTAAGGGGGAAGAAATAGATGACACCATGAAACACACACCTAAATTATCCACTGGGGACTCCCAGAAGCACCTGAATACCAGGACCTGAACAGAGTCAGAGAAAATGGGCCACACGTAAAGTGCTGTTACATTCAGGATACCTCACAAAAAGACTAAATGAATTTCCAGAGCACACAGGAGCTCTGGACTTGAGCCCACTGTGAGATGACAAGCTTTAATGTGAAGCTGATACTGAGACAGGTTCACATCCCAGTTCTGCCACTTACACATCACCTGACATCCTGGAGCCTCAATTCGCACATCTGGAAAATGGAAACCATGCTAGCTACTGAGTGTTGCAGTGAGGAACATGCCCACCACCCATTTTGCTCAAGCAGTAGCAGGGAATTCTAAGTATTTAAACATCTAACACTGTAGTTCCCAAGGAAGGGGGTTGGGAACTAGACGGGGGCATTTTAATCCCACCTTAAACCATTTTAAGCCATTCTGGGAGGTTTCCCCTTCAACTTGGCCAGATGAGGACACTGAAGACACCAGAGGCCAGGGCACTGCCAGCCCAGGCCCTGCAGGCTCTCAGCACAGCTCATCTGAGCAGCCCTTGGAGCCCTGGCTTGTGGTCAAGCTCTATCTGTCCGCCCAGCCCCAGAGAGGCCCCTCAAACCCTAGCAGCCAGGGCTCTGTGTCCCAAAGTCTTAGGTTAAAAGGTTCCATCCTCTCCAGGGACCCTGGCAGCCCTCTCTCATGCAGTCAGACTCTGGGCTGCAAGGGTCTCAGTTGAGAGAAAAGATCTTAAGAAACAAGCCCTGGAGAGAGGCCTGAGGGTGACAATGGTCCCATTGTTGGGAGGAGACTAGGGGTCCAAAGGTAGGAAGCAGATTCCTGGGGCGGGGCTAGATGTCTGGGGTGATGAGTCAGCCACCAAACTCCTTCTGGCTCAAGGCGTCCTGAGCACCAAGGACTCTGGCACTACCAGTCTTAACTCCTCTGATCCATGCTCCAAATCAGAGGAAATAGCTGTCCCATGGGTGAGATCAGACACAAAGATCAAAGATGTATTCTGTTTGACTAATGCAAAGCTTTAAAAAAAAAAAAAAAACGTTTAATATAAAGGTTTGAAATTATGATGTTTTTTCTTAAAAGCCAGATTTCTGATAACTTGAAAAGTCAGAAGCTCTAGCCACAATGTGGCATCATGGGTTGAAGCTGAGTGGCCACCGATCCCCTCTGATGCAGGATGAGCTCTAAAGTGCCACAGTCCCCACTAGCCCCTATTACCACGCCCTTCACCTACCTGCCTGACCGACGAAGACAGATGAGCTCCAGCTAGACTTCATGATTTTATTTTTCTGCACCTGTCCTGCCCAGTTCTGGGGGCCCTGGAGGGAAGGGGCCCAGCCTATGTGACAAGATCAGAGCTGAAAGGTACAAGAGTTGAGAGCATTGGCATAGAAACTCAGACCTGTTTTTGTGGACAACTGTTCTCCATGACCCAGTCTGGCTAAGAATTCAGCAGGGTTCAAGCCCCGGACTCCTGATATGGCCCCTAAGGGCATGTTCAGACACCCACGACACCCACCTTCTCTGCCCTCATGAGCCTGCAGGTTCCTTGATGCCTAATGAGACAGCTGCACTTGAGCAAAAGTGCAACTGATAGAAATGACCCCCATTGTCCTGCATTCCCCTGGAGGCAGCTACCCAAATCCACAGGACCCTTGGGGGTAGGGGTTCAGCTCCCATCACCAGGCCCACCTCCAAGGAAAAGAATTAATACCCACATTGTCTTCAGCACCCTGGGCTTCTAGAAAAAAGAAGGCACTTGGACCAGGTTTGGAGGCGACATTTTGCTCGCTTCATTGTGAGCCGAGATGCTGGTGCTGCAATGGAAGAGACAAGAAATGAGTAGCAAATGGGGGAGGGCGGTGGAAAAATTAAATTTTGCGTGATCAGCAAGGTTTCAAACAATCGCTCGCCAACTGAAGTGGGTGCCACGTCTATAAGTCATTCTGTTTTATAGACCATTAGGATCTCCAGAGAGAACCTGCATGGAGACCACTGCTTTTTGTTGAAATTAAAATGTCAGAGAAAAAGAAATAGAACAAAACAGGGAATCTGCAATTAATTACCAGGCCATAAAAATTCAATAATCAGGAGGCAGAGCGGCCGCGGGCCCAGAGGTATCAGAGCCAGCGTAACAAGAATGGAATACATTAATCTTTTCAAATTAGTTTTTTAATCTGACGGGGATATATGGTGACAAGCCTCCCCTCCCTGCTGGCTCCCCCCACCTCCGCAGCTCCAGCCAGAAGCCAGGCTAGGGGAGGGCGGTTCTGGTGTGAGCCAGGCCTGCCCAAACCCAGACCCGCAGACAGTGAGAGCTGGAGCCCCAGCTAAGTCCAGCACACCCATCTGGGCAGAACACCAGGCTGTCTGCTGGAGGGGCCCTGCAAAAATGCCAGGAAAACACAGGGATCTGGCTCTTGCCAGCTACCAGAGAAACTCATAAGCATGTCCTCCCTCTGGCCAGTGGGTCAGAAGGTTTAAGAAAGCATGAGCAGGGCCTCACTGGTGGGCCTCACATGTCTCGGCACTATGAAGATATCAGCAGCTACTGCAGGATAAGTTCAATCCGCATGCAGGGAGCTGACCCACATGGCACAGCAGACCTCTCCTGTCTCACCCGCTGCTCCCCTCAGCAGTGTATTTCAGTCAGTCTGCCTGTTTTGCTCCCCACTCTGTCTCTGGTAAATCCTCTCACCCCCCACACCTCTGGCCTACACCCCAGTTCTTGTGTGCATAAATAAAATAAATCTTACCCCAAAAAATGTGCCAGGCCCTATGGAAGTCCTTCACATGAATTTTCTCACTTTATCTCCTGGGAGGGCTATCAATAACCCCACTTTATGAAAGAGGTTATTGTGAAGCTTGGGACTCTCACCACTTCTGTATATTCTGTGGTGTCCCGAACCAGCTTCAGGAAAAATAAAAACCAGTACAGCTCTTTCACCTCCCCCAGAGTGCAGCACACAGTAGGTTTAATCAACACTCACTGAAGAGTGTTCCCACAGAAGAGCGCTACAAAGGCCCTCACCTGCTCTCGGGTCTCTTTCCTCTGCAAGATGTTTTCACTCCAGCCCATGATCATAAGGGCAACTGCCATTTGTGAGCACCTACTGTGCCCCAGGCTGCAAGATACGGTGCCATTTATCATCAGGACTTTGGTTTCCATTACAGGACACCAAGACTCAGAGAAACTGACAGTCCCAAGATCTCAAGTCTGGCACCCAAGGGAGGATCCTAACTAAGGCCATAGCCTCAGCAATACAGCAACCAGACCCTACAGGGCTTCCCAAGTCCCGCCTCTGGCTGTGTCCCTCCAAACCAGGCCCTTCACTCTTCAACCTGGTACCCTTGGTGACTTCTCCCCCTAGTACCCTTTACTGTTCTTTGAGATCCAAGATCCACTCATCCACCAATATATGCCCCAAGGGCCTCAGCAGAAATAGTAGTGATGACAACGAAGCATTGCGCCCAGACGCATCAAAATTTTGCTCCCTGACCCAGGTCCCTAGGCCATGTGTGTGCCTAAAGGAAGAACCCAGACCGCAGCTGCAGGGCTGGCGCCCCTCCGAGCGCAGCTGCAAACGCCGCCACGAGATGGCGCCCGACTCGCCCAGGTGGAGCTTACAGTAAGGCCGTGTGGCCGCCAGATGGCGCTCGAGGCCGCAGCACAGAGCGCAGCGCCCAGAGCAGGTGGAGCCGCTAGCGCCCGCGGGTAGGAGAGCGGTCAGGGCGGCCCCGGCGCCCGGTTCCTGGCCACGCTCGCCTCCTGCCCGCGCCATGACCCAGTCCATGCCCCGGCTCTCCCTGCCAGCCGCCCTGGCCCTGGGCTCGGCCGCGCTGGGTGCCGCCTTCGCCACTGGTCTCTTTGTGGGTGAGTAGGTCGGGCCTGCGGAACCACCGCAGGTCCCGGGTGGGTCGAGCGGGCCAGGGAGCGCCTCCGGGATCCCACAGACAAGGCTCACCCCGGCGCCCGCGGGTCCCAGCCCTGACCCGGAGCCCCCTCCTCGGCAGGGAGACGGTGCCCCTCCTGGCGATCCCGGCGAGAGAAGCGCCTGCTGCCCTCCGAAGACAGCCCCTGTGGCAGTACCTGCTGAGCCGCTCCATGCGCGAGCACCCGGCGCTGAGGCGCCTGCGGCTGGTCAGCGGGGCGGGGGAGGCGCGGGCGCCCGGCCCGGGCCCGGCGGGCCCACGTGGCGGGTGACCTTGGCCGGGCCGGGGCCCCCTGCCGGCTTCCGGGCTCCCCCGGCCGCGCGCGCCCGGCGCTCCCGGGGCCCCGCCCTCGAGGCCACGCCTCCAGCCACACCCCTGGGGTTCCGCGCCCGGGCCGGGGGGTGGGTGACCCGCGGGGCCGGCGCGACCCTCTCGCCCCCACACAGCTGACCCTGGAGCAGCCGCACGGGGACTCCATGATGACCTGTGAGCAGGCCCAGCTCCTGGCCAACCTGGCGCGGCTCATCAAGGCCAAGAAGGCGCTGGACCTGGGTAGGACGATGCCGGCGCCACGAGGGGCTGCGGGCGCGCGGCCGTGCCCGCCCCGGCTGAGCCCGCGCGCGTCTCGTCCGCAGGCACCTTCACGGGCTACTCGGCCCTGGCGCTGGCCCTGGCGCTGCCCCCCGCCGGGCGCGTCGTGACCTGCGAGGTGAACGCGGGGCCCCCTGAGCTGGGGCGGCCCTTGTGGAGGCAGGTGAGTGTCCCACACACCTGAGGCCCTCCTCCGGCCCCCGCGCGCGGCGCTGCCAGCCCCGGGAGCGGGACTTCCTGGCTCTAAACCTGCGCCTTCCGCAGGCCGAGGAGGAGCACAAGATCGACCTCCGGCTGAAGCCCGCCCTGGAGACCCTGGGTGAGCACCGGCACGGGGAGGGCCGTGGTGCCAGTCCCCAGGTGGGGCGCTGGGCGCGAGTAGCCGAGCAGCCGGGCGGGCTCGGGGCGATGACAGGCGCCGCCGCCCGGCCTCAGTCTGCAGCCCCCTGCGGGGCGGCAGGACCAGCCCGGGCAGGGGCTTCCAGCAGGCCGGCCGCGCACTCAGCCGCCTCTGCCCTCCCTCCCTCCCCGCAAGACGAGCTCCTGGCCGCGGGCGAGGCCGGCACCTTCGACGTGGCGGTGGTGGACGCGGACAAGGAGAATTGCGCCGCCTACTACGAGCGGTGCCTGCAGCTGCTGCGTCCCGGAGGCGTCCTCGCCGTGCTGAGTGTAAGGGATGGGTGGGGGGACCCGCGCGGGCTGGTCCCCCGGACTCCGCCCTCGGCCCCGCCCCCACAGCCCCCCCCCCGCCCCATCCGTGCGCGTAAGGCCCGCCCCCGCCGCGCTTCTCCGGCGGGGTCTTCTCTGGCGGGCCTCCAGCCCCTCCTCCTGCTCAGGCAGCCCCCTCCCTCCGAAGCCCCGCCCCCGGCACGGCCCCCCCCTTCTGCAGGTGCTGTGGCGCGGGGAGGTGTTGCAACCTCAGAAGCGGGGCGCAGAGGCTGAGTGTGTGAGAAACCTGAATGAGCGCATACTGCGGGACGCCAGGGTTCACATCAGCCTCCTGCCCCTGGGCGACGGCCTCACCTTGGCCTTCAAGATCTAGGGCTGGCCCCTAACCAATACTCTCAAAGGGCGGGTACCTGGGACACCCGGCTATCCCCCCCTGAGCTTTAAACCCGACAATAAAGTGGGGCCTGGGACCCAATCCTCTGAGCCTCCATGTAGCGCTGAATTGGATAGGGAGGGAAGGTCCCATGCAGTTTCTTTAGCATAGGGAGGCTTTTATGTCAGACTCTGTCCCTTCCTGTCAGTACTTGGGGCCACCTGCACCAGGGCTGTGACAACCACGGGAACCTGTCTTCCGGGTTTGCCTCCAGCCACAGGATCTGAGGGTTGGGCGCTAGGCAGTGTTCGGTCTCCCGCCTGCATGCCTTCCTAGGAGGGGCAAGTGAAGGTCCTGTTCCGTGCTGCTTGTACTGCTGGGAATGATGGATCTGACAACGGTTAAGAGGACTTGTAGGGGACCAGGGTTGTCACTGGGTACTTCGTTATTCCAGTCTGTGGAAATTTGCCCGTTTTCCCAGAACTGTCAGCTTGGCCTCACAGATGTAGCAGATGCTCTGGTCAGTGGACATAACCTCTGTGAACCAGGCCACTTGTAGACCTGAGGACCTCAAGGTTGCCTGACGTCAACCTCCCCTCCCCTAAAGTCCTGAAGGAAGGAGTTCTGGCACCAGGGTGTAAAGCAGACAAGTCTGTAAGTACACCACCACCATAGCAATTTTCAGCAAATTCCAAAGGATGGCAGGGAAGGGAAAGGCTTTCCAGCACCAACAGCTTTAAGGACTAGGTGCTTCATTTCTCCACAATCCTGTAACAGATGAAATCAGATTTTAAATGTCATACCCACTAACACTGACTCAGGCAAAAGTGGCCTCGGCCTGGAATACAACTAGGTGTAAGTACTACCTGGTCTCAACTAGATCACAGGAAGTGAGTCCTCAGCTGGCAACTTTAATCCTACAGCTATGGGTTATTACACCTTGTGTTCTGGGCCCTGGTTGGAAAGCTACCCACTCCCACTCATAAAAGGATGTTAGGATGCCTGTGTGAATAGGTCCAATTTTCCTTAAGTACATCCTGGACAAACTGGTAATTCACTCGTGCTACACTTCATAGCATATGACCAGAGCCCAGTCCAAAGGACTGCACCAAGTGAGCCCCAGCCACAGCATGAAGGCCACTAGCCAAATGAGGAAGACAGCGGGCTTCAGGTGTTGCCAGGCCCGCTGAACAGGTCCCCTCCCCATTGATCACCACCCACAGCTTGAGTTGTCTGCTGCGCTACTTCACACAAGAACAAGAGGTGCTTTCAACTTAGCAGCTTACACCTAGTTCCTGACTTTTTCTAGTAATAGCTTCTGACTCAAATTGGTTCAAATCCCAACTTTTTGCCATTAAGTCATGTGTCTGACTCCCATAGGCTATTCCAGCCAATCCCTTAGACAAACATAGTAAAACCAGAAATGGCTTTATGGCCTTAGTACATCAGAGCGTAGAAGTTGCTTGAGCTTCTACTCTCACATGAGATTACTCCTGACCTGGGTATTTACAGCATTTATCATTTTGTTGATATTGAGTCCCAATGAATTGTATTTTCTTATCCCCTCAAGCTTCAAACTACCTCAGATCCAGCATTACAAATCTGTTAAACAAATCTACCCTTCCCTTCCTGGTCACATCCTTCAAACTATTCGCTCAGCCTCCCCTCATCAAAAAACATTCTTTCCCTCGTTACTTTTCCAACCAGAATCACCTACCGACTTCTACCATTCAGTTCTAGTCTAGATGAAGGCCAATGGCCACAGACTGAAGGAGTTGCCTCTGGCCTCAAACTTAGGTCCAAAAGTTCAGTCAGTGTCTGTTAGGGTAAGTAATGATCACTCACTGGGATACATATACACCCTCTCACAGTTCCTCTGGTTACTGAAATTATACCCTACTCAACTTCCCTACACATAGTCCCTTCCCACCTAACTGGAGGCTAGTTCATTTTCCATAGTAATAGCTCACAAAGGTCTGGTGCATGTATACTACCTTTCAGCACCATCCCTTCACTTTCCTTTCCCCATCACTTTATCTCCAACCCTTCCTGGGGTTAACAATGATTCAGTGTAGTTTAGCATAAACTGAAGATGTAAAGGCATAAATCCTCTTATTGTACTCTAAAAAGGTCCTGGGGTTACTCAAGGTTACAGAGGACTCTGGCACAGATTTAGGTAAAGAGCACAACGCTCACCAGAAAAACTAGTATTAGCTGGGTATCAGGGATCTGACCCTAGCTAGCACATTTTTAACTCTGCAAATATTTGGAGTCATTAATAATATATACTTGTTTTATTCATAATTTGTAATGTTTGGGGATACCAAAAGTAATACTAATGATGGTTGAATTTAACAAAATTTTTTTAACCTCATCTGAAAACATCTACTGATTCATCTCATTCAATGGCAATATTCAATGTTAAAAGGAACATAAAAACAAACATGCACACAATTGCACAGTTTTCATAAAGGTCTATTTCATTATTGGTGGGTAGCGCATTTAACAGTTAAATACATTTAAATAATGTATAGGTGACTGCTCTTCTGCAGCATTGGTAACTAGATAACCAATCCAACTAGAAACCAGCTAACAAGTAACTGCCTAAATATTTAAAATACAGCTCTTGTTTGTAGATCATCCTTTGTTTTTGATCACCTTCATGGGGGGTGGGGGCAGGAAGGGGGAAGAGGGGAGAGCGCCTGCTGGTCACACTGGAAATATATTAAGGCCAAATCTTCTGATATCCAATCTCAGAGGTTTCTTTCAGCTGGATTAAGCCTCCAACTCCAGGGCAAGGCCAAGTTTGTGGCCTCCAGCATTAATGCTCTTCCCATCTACCAGAGCAGACAGTGTAAGCTTCACACCTGTAAACAAAAGCAGACAGCCATGATGTGCCTCCAACACCTATGAAGAGTCTACAGTTTATAAAAACCACCCTAGATCAGTCACTTCCTCAGTGTCAGCCACCAGAGGGCACTTGGGAGTACTTGAGACAATTCAGTTGGAAGGATCCTGGGTACAGCATTAAGTAAGTTACAGAGCATAAAAATGTTGAAGTTCAGGGCCTCCCCTGGTAGCGCTGCAGTTGAGCGCTGGGCTGCGAGGCTGCCCGCAGCCTCTGCAGCGCCGGTTCATTCCCCGGCAGCAAAAAAAAAAAAAAAGTTAAAGTTCACAGTGTTCAAGAAAATACAATGTTCAATATACTATCCAGAAGAAACTAGAAAGACAATCATAACTACCTAAAAAGGGAAAACTACAATAAAGACATAGAGACAAGTGGGGAAATCCGAAGAGGCTGCATATTAAGTTACTGATAATCTTCTAAGCTGTGATAATGGTATTGTAGTTATGAAGGAAAATGTTTTACTCCTAGGTTATGCACACTATGTTATAACTACAAGTCTGTAAAAATGCCCATTTAAATAATTCATAAAGTTGTATGAAAAATGACAACAGGATTAAGTATACAGAATGGAGACAAAACAAATGTGGTAAAAGTTACTAATGAATGAATGTGGGGAAGGAAACATGGGGAGGGGTTAGAGCACCATTATTTTCTTTAGATTTCAACATAATAAAAATGGGTGAAAATCTGTATTTAGAGGGGGAAAAGTTCCAAGTGCTTGCTATTCAAATAAATGGTAATTCAAGAACCAGCAACACTGGCATCAACAGAAAGCTTGTTAGACGGAAGAGTGTGCATCCTGAAACTACTGAACCTGAATTCTAACAAGATTCCTCAGATAATTCATGCACACAGAGGTCTGAGCTGAAAAATACAAGGTTCAAAACACTACACAAATTAAACTATAGACTGAACAACAAAAGTAATGAGTGAACACTGGGAAAATTAAAATTATAAGATTTCATGTATGAGTGAGGAAAGTGCACAAAAAATGAACTATTAAATATTAAATAATATGGAGTATTAAATATGAAACTTTCTTAGGTACAGTAACAATACTGTGATTATGTAGGACACAGGGAAAATTCTCCACTTAGGGAAGTCTAACAATAGTTGCTACTTCCAAACAGTCCAGCAAAAAAATGAAATGAAATTTAAAAATATGGCAAAAAGTAAACATGTTCGCAATAATCTTCTATCCATTCTTCTGTATGCTTTGAAAGGTTTGCCAAGTAAGAAGCTGGGAAATTAAAGTAATTTTTAAAACACTACTTAAGCAAACCTACTTTACCAAGAATACTTACCAGGCCTCAGAGTCTGAGTGTAGCCCACTCCAATTAAACTAGAATTGTTGACTTTTGCCTAAAATTAAAATGCAAAAGCAAATATAAGAAAAAAACTTAAGTAATCTTTCTAAAGAATCAAAATCATGAATGTTAAAAATTTCCAAAGGGCAAGCATTTCCTTTGAAGATCAGATGGACTCAAAATACTACCCTCATATTCTCACTTGTCTCATTAATGCACCTGGTCAATTCAATATAAAGCCAGTCTGGGCTTGAAAAGTTCCAATGGGGCATCATTTACCAAACCTTGCTCTCCTTGCAATTCTATTACAGGATTTAGTCCAGTCAAGACTGGAAGGAACACTGGAGAGCAAGACATGATTAAGCCACCTCATCCCCATCTCCAGGATCTAGGTAGCCTAGCCAGACAACCTTGCTCTTCAACTTTACTGCAGTAAAAAGGTAACAATCCCTGGGATGAAAACAGATTTGGGAATGACTAGATGTCTATCTACACTCTTCTGTAATGTCACAACAAAAAAGCCCAATCCTAAGAATGATAACCCAGATAAACAGTACTTGTCTTTATCCACCAATGACCGTGGTTTATCTAAGGAAGAAATGTCCCACTGGAGACCATCTTGTTCCCAACAAATTAAGAACCTCAAAGAGGGCCTCCCCGGTGGCGCAGCGGTTGAGCACTGGGTTGCGAAGCTGCCCGCTGCCTCTGCAGCGCCGGTTCGATCCCCGGCTGCTCCCCGGCCACCAGAGGAGGGTCCCACATGGCGCGCAGACCTCTCCTGCCGCCCGCTGCTCCCCTCAGCAGTGTCCTTCGGTCCTTCTGCCTGCTCTGCTCCCCGCTCTGGCTCTGGTGAATTCTCTCACCCTCCCGCGCTTCTGACTGTACCC